CAAGGAAAAATCTAACGAAAAAAGCAAAAAATGAGCAAATAACCTGGATGAGAAGAAGGGCTTTTGTGAGAGTCTTTTCATGCAAAGGTCCAGCAAACTTCAGTACTAAATTCAGCACGGTCAGGTTGTTAATTTCACGCCATCTGAAAATAAGATGTTAAGACTCAGGGTGAATGTTAGAGTAAGGTGAAGCTCTCTATAAATGTATGGCAGGCCAAAAAGGCAAATATTCTTTGAAATGTGACACAAGGAAACGTAGTAAGTTCTTTGAGCTATCGTTTAGCCAATCAAACGGCTGCTGAGTTAGGTGGATTCCTAGCAGAAAGATCTTGATGTGAACCAGGATTTTTTTGAAATCGTAATAGCGGAACTTGCGAAAATTATATTCGACTTGAAAACCTAGAAAAATTCTCAAAAAATTAGAACGAACGATTGATGGCAAGACGGCATGGCAACCTAGACAAACTTGTCATAGCATATAATGCGGATCAGAAAGTACATAAAACTCGTACGCGATAAGAAAAACACATATCAAAGACGATTCACTTGCAAGTGTACCATCATTTCAAATACAAATTCAAAAAAATGCTGGGACTCCACTTGCATACTTTAGCAACTCAGATCACAACCATATGGCAGTGGCCATACTTCGCTCAAAAGCGCACAAAAGCGCCGGCACGCCCACACTTCAGAAATGTATACTGCAAACTAATATATATACAATCAGATAGAAAGAGAAAAGAAAACAGAAAGAAACATAAAAAAGAAAACACAACACACATATCTGATTTACGCCAAGTTTAACAATGCCTCCGTGGAGGGGGCGTTCCGGCGCTTTTGAGCGAAGTATGGCCACTGCCTATGAGTACATCCATACGACAACCTCGCATAAGCGATAAAGTTGAACATTGATTAACATCAACACACATTAACATTAACACTTCATTTTGAGAGAAATAACAAAGACTTACCTCGTCCCATCTCTATCAAAGCTCCTGGTATGAAGTAGACCGAACGCAGAAAATAGTTTGAGAGTCAAATTTCCGAGAAATTTGAGATCCGATTCCTTGAACTCAGCCATACTCATGCCTACCTAGACAACAAATGGATACAAGGGCAATGGTTCATATGAAAAACAACATGCCTTATTCGTTTCCGGATTAAATTTCGGTAAGCGATGTCGAGGACATGGCACAAGCTTGAAGAGTTGTGGTAAAGAGTACAGAAAATTGAACACCTGTACAACAAAACAAAATCTTTGGGAAGAGCAAAAGGTGATGGTTGTAAACTACCTGTGGAATAAGGAACAGTATCATAGTCTTACTGAAATGACCAAGAATCGACACAACGGCTAAAGTCATCCCTGCCCAATAACAAAACGTATCACCGACAAATACTCGTGCTGGATACTGGAAATGATGAAGTATAGGAAGAGAAAAAGAAACGAATTTAGGGATACTCACTTTATTGTACTGATAAAGCGCCAATGTACACGTTAAGAATGGTATCAGAAAATAAAGTGACAACAAATGGTCCCAAAATTCTTCTTCTAGACGTGTAACCTGCATGTAAAATTGATTGATTGGTTCATTTATGGTTGCAAACTAAAGTTTTAGTATCTTTCACCTGTATTAGATTGAAAAGTACAACACTTGA